AGTGGAGACTATTACTGAAGTCCAAGTCCACCAATCAGTGGAGACTATTACTGAAGTCCAAGTCCACCAATCAGTGGAGACTATTACTGAAGTCCAAGTCCACCAATCAGTGGAGACTATTACTGAAGTCCAAGTCCACCAATCAGTGGAGACTATTACTGAAGTCAAGTCCGCCAATCAGTGGAGACTATTACTGAAGTCCAAGTCGACCCTCAATCAGTTGAGACTTTGTGGCCATTTGTAAATGTTATGTTAATATCACATTCAAGGGAATGAAATGAACAAAATTATCTAAATTCTTTGAACAACTATGAATTCTTGTTTACATTTTACAAACTAAAGATGTAATAGGGTTTGCTATCTTTGGCTCAGACAGAAAGAAATACATTTTTATACAAAGTCATTGTGCGCTGCTAATGAAGGGGAGTAACTCTTCTTGTCTTAATGGTTCACCAGCCACTAATTCACAGCTGGTTCAGTCATTTACCCTCAGTCAAAGGTTTAGTGATGGAGTAAATAGGGAATACGAGTGTTACATACCACGATACATGGGTGATAGCATATGTATCACAACACACGATATGTGTCAGTCTGAATGATTCTTATTGTATAGTAGTGCTGAATATTAATTACTCGCCTTTCCAAGCTTCATATCCTGCTCAAAGCGCACAATCAGATCTTTTTTACCCTGGATAACCCAAGCTGCCTGTGAGGCACAAGAAGTTTAATAGTCACATGTCATAACCTGCCGGGTACCCATTTTCTGCTGTAGGTTACTATTAAATGTAGTATTGAGTATATCATTGTCAGTATAGATAAGGGCGCTTTGGGATAAAAATATATGCACAATCACGATATAATTTAACCATGAATACAGCAATGGTTCATGATTTATAGTCGTATTACCGTATATGAAAGGTATGGTTTTATTGTTTATTGACCTGTTTACACAAGAGTAGAAACATCCAAACGCACAAGAATACTGATTACTAATTTCCAGTACTCCTATATAAAAAAATAAAGAGTGAATAAGACTGAACATGATCATTTCTTTAGCCAGTGGCCTAAAAACATCAGCATGTGAAATCTAATAAAATTGAACAATCATTTTCCGTCGCCTAAATAATCTGTGCTAAAAGTAGCATCTATGGATTCCAGATTAATCACAAACATGTGTTAATGAATCACTGTCAAGATGTAATGATACCATGTGTTCATGAAAGGGTGAGCGTATCCTGCCCCAATGATGTGTCACTGGCAAAGGCAAGTCAATTGTGCTTCTTAGACTGACTGACTGAGTTTAGTTTTACGCCGCTTTTAGCAATATTCCAGCAATATCATGGCGGGGGACACCAGAAATGGGCTTCACACATTGTGCCCATGTGGGGAATCGAACCCGGGTCTTCGGCGTGACGAGCCAACACTTTAACCACTAGGCTACCCCACCGCCCGTGCATCTTAGAAAGAGCTTGAACAAATGGTACCTGTTAAGACAGGAAAAACCTAGTTTTAACAAACTCCAACATGCTGATCCCTGTTCATTAGTTCAGTGTTCATGAGGATGGTATATAGAATAAAGAGAAGTTATCCATAAAAATATGTCATGCATTCATGTTCGTCCAACTTCTAAATGCCTTTCAAGAACTTCCAATTAAATTATTGAAATGCTTAGGGTATGTACTACATCCTTGAGAGTAGTAATTTGTCGTATTTCACGGGATTCATCCAGGTAAATATTTATTTATCATGGTTATCATGCCTGGGTGTCCTACATCCAGCTGGTCTCCATTTACAGGGGTTTTGAGGGGCGGTTTGGTAGCCATATGGTTAAAGCATTCGCTCATCACGCCGAAGACCCGGGTTCGATTCCCCACATGGGTGCAATGTGTGAAGCCCATTTCTGGTGTCCCCGGCCACAATATTGCTGGATTATTGCTAAAAGGAGCTTGAATCCAAACTCACTCACTCATTCTTTATGAAACCATAACCACCTTTACAGGTTCACTCAGTGTTAGGTCATCATTCACTGAAGAGAAGGACAGAATGTCAGATTGAATGTAACCTGCTCATGTAGTTTTGAAAGAACATCATTTTAGAATAGAATAGAATAGAATAATACTTTAATGCCTTTTCAGGAATTTGTGTTACATCAGCAGAACTACTGACACATTAGAGAGATACCAAACATATTTACATAAATTCTTTGATTTAGGTATCTTCACATTTGTTTAAGAGAGATATGGTACTTGGAATAAAGGATGTACGGGCTCTCTTAGTTTTCACAATTGGAACTTTGTAGCGGCCGCCTGAAGGGAGGAGGTTGTATGCCAACTTTAAGTAGTGAGTACGGTCAGATATGATTTTGACAGCTTGATTCACGATTTGCCGCTCATGTATTGATGATACACATTCAAATCTGACTCAAGCGATTTTACTTGCAGTGTTAACAATTTTGTCTATTTTAGATTTGAGATGAACTGAGAGAGACCCGTACCAACAATGGAAGGAAAATGTTAAAATACTCTGAATAAATGCTGCATTAAAAGATGACATCACAGATGGGTTAACATTAAAAGATTTATTGTAATATATCCAGTAGATCAGGGATATATGTTGTACATGGTTCTTTGGTACAATTTGGTATTTTCAGAAGAAGTTACAAAAACACTTTGACAGTCAAAATATCACTTATTGCAGTTTTTGAATTCTAAACAGACAGTTGACTTGCATAAAGAGATTGTTTGATAATACATACCATAAACATCCAAGTGAAACTGAGAGTTGAACATTTCAGAGATCATGTTTGAACCAGTGATATATTTTAAGAATATGTTTGTGAGTAGCCACAATAAACACTGACAGTGTTGTAGATTTCTGATTGGTGAGGTGAGGTGAAATTGGGTTTAACGTCGTGCTTGAGAATATTTTGCTCGTATGACGACGTGCATGCGTGTGTATGTGTATGTGCGGCTGCTTGTACTAGCCCAGACTTAAGCTGGTTTTATAGAGCTAGCCCACTGAGATACCATGCCGCAGTGAAGCATGAATACCCCACTCAGACACATTATACTGACTCCGAGCCGACCAGCCCTTGTTGTACCCATTACTGCCGAGCGCCAGGCAGGGACCAACAAGTACTATATTTTAACGTCTTTTGGTATGACGCGGTCGGGGATCGAACCCGCGACCTTCCGCTCTCCGGGCGGACACTCTAACCACTACACCACGGAGGCGGTATTTCTGATTGGAGTGAGTGTGGATTGTGTTGAGCATCTAGTACATTCGGGCTGTAGGGTAGCCTAGTGCCGGATCCTCCTCCTCCTCCACTTTCTGATACATATTTTGTAAATTCATTGTGTGTTTTTTGTGAAATGACTCGTACTTTACTCCTGGGGCGGTGTGGTAGCCTAGTGGTTAAAGCATTGGTTCTTCACGCCGAAGACCCGGGTTCGATTCCCCACATGGGTATATATGTGAAGCCCATTTCTAGTGTCCCCCGCTGTTACATTGCCGGAATATTGCTAAAAGTGTTGTAAAACCGTACTCAGTCACGAACTCAGCCTGCCAGAGGCTGTGTTTTTGTGTGAAATAACTCGTACTTCACTCCTGAACAAGGATTACAAGCAGCGCCTCTGCGTTCTATTGACAAATTGGAATGATTTCACTAAAAACCCGGAGCAGTGGGGTAGCCTAGTTGTTAATGCGTTTGTTCCTCATGCCGAAGACCCGGGTTTGATTCCCCACATGGGTACAGTGTGTGTACCATTTCTTGTGTCCCCCGCTGTGATATTGCTGAAATATTGCTAAAAGCAGTGTAAAACCAAACTCACTCTCTCTTCTGAGTAGTATAGCTTGTCAAACTGTATGTGTAGGAAGGGGCGGTGGGGTAGCCTAGTGGTTAAGGCGTTGGCTCGTCACGTCGAAGACCTGGGTTCGAATCCCCACATGGGCACAATGTGTGAAGCCCATTTCTTGTGTCCCCCGCCGTGATGTTGCTGGAATATTGCTAAAATCGGCGTAAAACCAAACTCAGTCAAAGTCAGTCAAACCGGGTCAGGGCACAATGTGTGAAGTTTCTGGTGTCCCCTGTTGCTGGAATATTGCTAAAATCGGCGTAAAACCAAACTCAGTCAGTCCGTCAGTCAGTATGTGTAGGATATATAAATGAAAGAATTGATCATGTCACCACGATGGCTCTGCTTTGACATTCTACCAAATGTCCCAGCCTTCTAATCCCGCCATTGTTATCCCTTTATAAACAGCGGTGTTCCTATTAATATACTGTGGCAGAGAACACTCGGACTGTAGTAAATGTGTATATCCGAAGTTTGATGAGGTCAACGTGGCGATCTTTAGTGTCTAGTTTGTCAGTAATGACGCTTTTTCCTGTAAAATACATTAATGTTCCTGGCATAGAAAAAAGATTTGAAGTTTCCTGATTTCTGCTGTTGTGTAATGGACATATGATATGTTTAAGTACGATAGTCCATGGCCGATATTACATGAATAGAGTTAGTGGGGTAGCCTAGTGGTTAAAGCACCCGCTTGTCACGCTGAAGACCCAGGTTTGTATTCCCCTCTTGGGTACAATGTCTAAAGCCCATTTCTGGTGTCCCCACCGTGATATTTGTGGAATATCACTCTCTCTCTCTACATCTCTCTCACTCACTCTGCACTCACTCCCACTCCTTCACTCACTCACTCACTCACTCACTCTACTCACTCACTCACTCACTCACTCACTCACTTCTGACTCACTCACTATGCGATGGGTCAATGTCATAAGTGCACAAGTTGATCAGTTTTTAGTCATTGCAGAGTTTCCCCCCTTTTTGCTTCCAGGATTTTCTCATTTAATTGCCGTCCATACTAGCTTTTCACCAAAATTGTTTGAATGTATGACATTTCACACTTCAACTTACAGCTGTTACTGGGATCAAATTAAGATGTAAAACCCAGCTCACTCACTCACTCTAGATGATGTAATCTTTGTTTTCCAGGTAACATCGTGGAAAAGGGACTAAACATTGGAAACTGTTCCTCACCCTGCAGATAAAGGTAAGGTTAGACTGCAACCGACTTGGTTGAATTCACATCCATTTATAAAAGCTTATTTCTAATATGGTTGGTTGGTCGGTTGTTTTATGTCACTCTCAGCAATATTCAAGCCATATGGCGGCGGTCTGTAAATAATCGAGTCTGGACTAGACAATCCAGTGATCAACATCATGAGCATCGATCTGCGCAATTGGGATATGATGACATGTGTCAACCAAGTCAGCGAGCCTGACCACCCGATCCCTTTAGTCGCCTCTTACGACAAGCATGGGTTGCTGATGACCAATTCTAACCCGGATCTTCACGGGTTCTTATAAATATGGAAGTCACCTCCTTATACTGTGCAGAATATTTGACCACTGCATTATTCACTGTGCTGAAGTGGAAGATTTGACCACTATGTTACTGATGTATTCTTGAGAACGTCCTAAAACTAACCACTCAGAAATCAGATTCTTGTTCAGTTACAATGGATAAGATTGGCAGAGTTGCTCCCCTTGTCTTAGACATGGTTCCACCATTGGATGGGAACACTTGAGTTTTATTTTTGTGATAAGAGAATGAGAGAATGTACAATAGGGATGAATAAAGGTGTAATGGAGAGTGATAGTGTTAGTAAATAGATGGATGAACAATTACCAACTGGGAAAACTTTAAGAAGACTTTGACTATGTCAGTGAGTAGATTTCCAGTCTTGTAAAGGCTGTACATAATAAAAGGCCTCAATATTGAATAAAATGATCTTGTGTGACCCAGAATAATTTTGTTATAATGATGTAATTATGTCATAAACATTCCTTCTGGATTATGGGTACCACAGAGACATACAGAAATGGAAATGAAAATATAATATTTAAAAAAATGATCTGATCAGAGCCAGAATACTTTTGTTATAATGACATTTTAAATCATCATTACCAAAACTCAATATATAATTTTATAATGAAAAGCAGATGGACCTGTTTTTATTTGGTGCAACAAGGAAGTTTAGTGTGAAAAATGTATGCTGGTCCTGTGGTCCCTGGCTAGTAAAAATTCATCAGGGCCACTAAATGATACGTTTGCAGTGGTGCTGGCGGACAGTGAATTTTGTATTGATAGATGGGGCGGTGGGGTAGTCTAGTGGTTAAAGCGTTGGCTCATCACGCCGAAGTCCCAGGTTCGAATCCCCACAAGGGTACAATGTGTGAAGCCCATTTCTGGTGATGTTGCTGGAATATTGCTAAAAGTGGCGTAAAACTAAACCTCAGTCAGTCAGTCAGTCAGTATTGATAGATAAGTAAATCTACGAATGTTATTTTAGACCAGTGAAGTACAGACAGGACCACTTATTATTTTACACTCATGGGAAATTTTGAAAAGTTTCTTTCCCTGATGTTACCCAAGGTTGCATGGGGTGCAAGTAGGTTTTATTTTCTTAAATCAAGCCCGGAAAAGTCAGAAACACCTATGAAGCAGTCCCAGGCAGTTCATCAATGGTTTTAGCGTTGTATTGAATACAACATTCAAGTTGTAGGGGTATGAGTAGAACATAGGCCGGGCTGAGTATTAGGATTATCACTACTTCATGCTTGTAGTTGTGTTGGGAATTGGTTAACATCTTATTATTGATGATTGGTTCATCACAAGCTGATCAATCATCAGTACTCTTATTGTTTTCCAGTTATCCTATATTGAAAAAAAAATAATCTGGTTAACTTCATTCATCAAATCTTCCTGTTATGTTTGTTAATAGAAGTTTTTGGGGTACATTTGCAAATTTCTCATCTTTATAGGATTACTTGTATGTTAGGAACATAAATTTCCTGGAGTCTTTAAGATAAATTCAGTCATGACTGGAACGAGGTTGTAGTGCTTATGATATGTAAATTTAATGACAAACAAAACCAAACTTGTGAAAAATATTGTTAATGCAAACAAGTGTTCCAAAATTGTTTGTGTTCGGTTATGAGAAAACATGATCGATTGCTTGGTTGTTTAGTCACTGCGACCAATCTTCGATTATTTCAATTAATCAGACCACCACTAGCTTGCATATTACAATTTAGCTTATTACTTAACTTCAGTCAGTGAAATTAGAAATAACAATCATTGTGTTTTGCTCGATATTTTAAGATATTTTCCTAGATGAATTTAATGCCAGTACTATTAAGAGATTTAGGTGTGGTTCATGTTATACGTACATGTGTATTTTGTTCAATGTTTTCACGTCCTTCTGAGCAGACTGCAATGGGCTAACAATCTTCTACAATGCATTCGATCAGTCATTACTTTTTGTAGTCCTTTTCTTTTAAAACATGGAACAGTCAAGGCAATAATCTATAATAGTTCAGGGATTTACAGGAAGCGAATTCCTGCGTCCTATACGCATAAAATTGACAATGGACGCAACCAAATATATTAGCGCATCCACAGGGACTCAGGAAAAGTCCAAATACTTTTTGTAAAACTTCCAATAAAGTGACAATAAGTTATCACTGAATTTGCTACTAGCTGGGTTATGGTATTATTTGCAATTTAATTACTGTAACAATGTGATGATCATGATACACAATACAATAACAGTATTAATAATAATATCTAAGTGTCTGGGACCCCCATTTTGTTGTCCAGGACCCCTGAAAATCAAGAGTATGAGTCCCAGGGACCCTCAAATACAGGATTCCATGTAAATCCCTGTAGGTCTAATTTTCTTGTGGCTTTTGTCTCAAGTAAAATATGTCCATAAACTGGGCATCGGAAAATCGTGACCTGAAAACTTGAGCCTTGTCAGATTTGTCATTGACATCAGATCTGAGGTATTCAATTTGTTAAATGTGAATGTGATAGAGGAATGTATGCTGCCTTTGATTTCAAACAATATTTTTCACTTGATAAATTTTTTATGTCATAAAATCAATTTCTCCTTCCGTCCCTTAAAAATCAAGGGCGGTGGGATAGCCCAGTGGTTAATGTGTTCACTTGTCATGCCGAAGACCCGAGTTTGATTCCCACACAGGGGTGGAAATAACTTTTATATTGCTAGTGTACTCCAGTACAGTGGCACATGTAAAATCACTTGCCCTGATAATTTTTCCACTATACCGTCCGTTTTCTTGTTGATTTTTTAAATAAACAATATTATTAATATTGGAAAGTCAACTGGACACCGGTACAGTGTGATATACAAATTTGCTTGCCCAACAGAAAAAAACACTGGACTCGGGCATCGGGCAATGGGTCATTTCCACCCCTGCCACATGGGTACAATGTGTGAAACCCAATTCTTGTGTCCACTGCCGTAATATTGCTGGAATATTGCTAAAAGCGGCACAAAACTAAACTCACTCACTCACTTAAACATCAAGTTATTTGGGAGCATTGTGGAGAGGATTTTTACATTATGAGATTCATTATTTGTGAACATGAGCTTTACACCATTCACTTGCAAAATATGCTTGACCACCACAGACTAACAAGTAAGTATTTGTGAGTGAGGGAGTTAATATTTAACGTCACAACGGCAATATTTCAGCCATATCGACTAACAAGTAAGAATTACCACATTTGGATTCAACTTTGTAAAGTCAGGCTCAATTTTTAGCTTCCACATTTGCTTTGAAAACTTTGGATTGATGTTTTATTTAGATATTTTAGAAAAAAACAAGAAAGCATTATATCAGAATAATTCCCCAGTTGAACTGAATCTTTGTAGGATGGAAATAAATCTGTGTTTTCGTGTTATGATTAGGTGTGTGTGGGATCATGGCCGTTGTTCCCCAGATTTTGGCATGGTGGAATTTATTGAATCAGTATGTTCCATGAAAACTGACAAAGTAACGTTTCTGCCCTGTGTGTTTTTAATGTCAGCAGGTTATGTCAGCAAATGCGTTCCAAACACACAAAATGTGCGATCAGTTAATTCCTGATTTATTTTGGCAGATAATAAGCCGCGATCCATCAAGTCGTTGTTTAAACGAACCCTGCACTTCCGTTTTTCCACACATTTTTGCAATACACGCACAACAAAAAGCACCATCGCAGGTTCGTCCAGGCGGACCCTGACTTTTAACAAAATACACTTTGCAACATTTTATCATAGGCTTTTCCTCAAAAGTTCATGTTTTTGGTTGCACCCAGCCGAAAGTGCGTAAATAAATGTTTTTATGGAAAGCGCATTAATCAAACATTAGCATTGCTTTGTTATTGGAGTTCTGGCGGACATCTTGACAAAATTTACGGGTCAGTCGAGGACTCTCAGCCTTCCTTGTTCATTAGGGGAAATGTTACACAAATGTTGATGCTGAACAACAAACCCCACCTGCCATGGCAAATTGCAACACAATAGTCTTCTTGTCTTTTGTATGCTCTGGATTCTGTGAAAAACTTGACATTTAGCATTCTTGTATGATTTGTAATCCTGGTTCAATGTGAAGCTGGAACAGTGTGCCAGGGAAGGGCCTGGGTGTGACGATGGTGGGATGTAGGTGTTGCTGCTGCTGCTGCTGTGGTTGCTGTCATGATTATGTTCCTCACTGTCATGGTAAAATTGTGGTAGTAGAAGTACTCGTAGTAGTGATAGTACCAGTTGTAGTAGCACTGTAGTAGTAGTAGTGGTAGTAGTAGTAGTAGTAGTAGTAGTGGTGGTGGCAGTGGTGGTAGTAGTAGTAGTGGTAGTAGTAGCACTTGTAGTAATAGTAGTAGTAGTAGTAGTAGTGGTGAGTAGTAACACTTGTAGTAATAGTAGTAGTAGTAGTGGTAGTAGTAGTACTTGTAGTAGTTGTGGTAGTAGTAGCACTTGTAGTAGTAGTGGTAGTAGTAGTAGTAGTGGTGGTAGTAGTAGTAGTAGTAGTAGTAGTAGTAGTGGTGGTGGTAGTAGTAGTAGTGGTAGTAGTAACACTTGTAGTAATAGTAGTAGTAGTAGTAGTGGTAGTAGTAGTACTTGTAGTAGTTGTGGTAGTAGTAGCACTTGTAGTAATAGTAGTAGTAGTAGTAGTGGTAGTAGTAGTAGTAGTAGTGGT